AGTTGGAGCATCTGTCTACAGTAGGCATCAGTTTTATTCTTCTACTTTATTTTTTGAGTACTTGCAAGAAAACAGGATCTTTGTTATCTTAAGACTACATCTGCTCACATTACCAGATCCCCCTCTGAAGTCAAACTTTTCTGGAGAACTGCCAATTGCCAATCCAGAGTCAAGTCAGTTTCCAAAGGGTTTTATAATCATATTATTGGTTATTCTTGAAGCTTTGCATGAAAGGGGATTTTGTTGGCATGGCTGTTTGAGGAATGTCTAGTCTTTATTGTATAGTTGTATTTGCCTGCAAACAACATACACTATTTCATTTGTTGTGCTCCTGTTGGAAATGGTAGTTATCCAGATGGATGGTAAACAATGCCATGCAATTTAGGTGACCAATCACACATCACCACATGTACAGTTCCCAAATTCACCAGGACTCAAATTTGTTTATATAAATTGGGGCATACTTGCAAATTGCCAATTGAGGGTCAGAAATCAGGATCAGTTGGAAAATGAGACACAGAATAAAGGGCTGCATTTGCTGGATAACTTATCATAGAATCATAGAACCATAGAACTGGAAGAGACCTCAGGAGGTCATCAAGTCCAGCCCCCTGCTCAAGGCAGGACCAATCCCAACTAAATCAACCCAGCCAGGGATTTGTCAAGCCAAGACTTAAACACCTCTAGGGATGGAGACTCCACTACTTCCCTAGGTAACGCATTCCAGTGCTTCACCACTCTCCTAGGGTATGTCTACACTAGCTCAGTAGTTCGAGCTAGGTAGGCAAATGAGGGCAAATGGAGTTGCAAATGAAGCCCGGGATTTAAATATCCTGGCTTCATTTGCATCTTCCTGGGCGCCGCCATTTTTAAATCCCCCTTAGTCCGAACTCCATGCCCGCGGCTACATGCGGCACAGAGTAGGTAGTTTGAATTAGGATCTCTAAGTCGAACTACCGGTACACCTCGTTCCACAAGGAGTAACGGTAGTTCGAATTAGATATCCTAATTCAAACTACCTACTCCGTGCCGTGTATAGCCACGGGCACGGAGTTCGGACTAAGGGGGATTTAAAAATGGCGGCGCCCGGGAAGATGCAAATGAAGCCAGGATATTTAAATCCCGGGCTTCATTTGCAACTCCATTTGCCCTCATTTGCCTACCTAGCTCGAACTACTGAGCTAGTGTAGACATACCCCTAGTGCAATAGCTTTTCCTAATATCCAACCTGGACCCCTCCCACCACAAACTTGAGACCATTGCTCCTTGTTCTGCCATCTGTCACTACTGAGAACAGCCTTGCTCCAGCCTCTTTGGAACCTCTCTTCAGGAAGTTGAAGGCTGCTATCAAATCCCCCCTCACTCTTCGCTTCTGCAGACTAAACAGACCCAACTCCCTCAGCCTCTCCTCATAGGTCATATGCTCCAGCCCCCTAACTTACTCAAAGCTGTTGTGTAACTCAGGAGCTACACTACAGAGGAAGATCAAAGCTGCTACTGTCAATCTTAAAGGGTTCAAATTAGTGGTCTAGCTAATTTGAAATGAGAGGGGCACTCCAATTGATGCTGGTAACCCTTCTTTCGCTAGGAGTAAGGGAAGTTGAAAAATGAGTTGAAGGATGAGTTGGACTTTGACTTCCCACAGTGTAGACAGCGCCAAAAGCTGAGTTAAGCTACTTTGATTTCAGCTACACAATTAATGTAGCTGAAGTCATGTATCTTAATTCAACTTTCTCCTGTAGTGTAGATACACCCAGATATAGTAAACATGGAATCGTCCACTGAAGCCGCTGTTGTACTGTCACTCACAGACTGAGAAACAGTTGAGCTGATCAAAAATCTTTGAATAAAAAATATACTGGACCCAAGAAATCATCTTTTAGGAACCCTCCCTCAGCAAATACTGGAAAACAGTTGGATTTTTCATTTTTATTTTTCATTTTCCCTTTTTCAATCTACTCTTTTTTCACCTACTTTGTTTACTCGTTTCACATTCTGGGGCCCATTTTGATTGATTGGGTGGGCCACATGGTTGAATTTTTCTAAACCAAAAATTTTCTACTTCAACATCAAAAAAATTTTTTTTTCAGAATAAAAGAAGACAATTTAAAAAAGTTGGAGGAAGATTTCAAAACCGAAAAAAATAGTCAGTTTTTTTGTGGAAAAAAGCTAAATGAAACAGTTAAAAGTTTTACAGTATTTATTTTTTGTCAACTCTCGACCGGTATTTATGCTGCAGTTTTACCCCATGGGGTCTGCCTAAACCCTGGTCTGGATTATGCGATATGGGAGTGGATTGCTGAGAGGAGGTGGGGCATTCAGGGAAAAGCAGCATGAGCTAAACAATGGGGAAGTGTATAATAAGTCGATGACTATGTGAATGATGTGAACGCTGAAGCAGGAGAGGAGTAATTAGGGCCCTTACACATGCTGAACTTGAACGATGTGAATAGTTCTGTTTAAGTCAACAGGGCCTATACATGTGCTTAAAGTTATACACAAGAGCATAAGATCGGCCATCCTGGGTCAGACCAAAGGCCCATCCAGCCCAGTATCCTGTCTGCCGACAGTGGCCAATGGCAGATGCCCCAGAGGGAATGAACAGCACAGGGAATCAAGTGATCCATCCCGTGGCCCATTCACCGTGTCTGAAAAACAAAGGCTAGAGACACCATCCCCATCCTGGCTAATAGCCTCTGAAGTGATCCATCCTGTGGCCCATTCACCGTGTCTGACAAACAAAGGCTAGGGACATCATCCCCATCCTGGCTAATAGCCTCTGATGGACCTAACCTTGTGTAAAACACCTGCAGGACCAGGGCCTACATCATTCCTCTCCCTCTTTGGGGTTCACAGCATCCGTATAGTCATCTACTTATTGTACCCTGGGTCACTGTTTAGTTAATGCTGCTCCTCTTGGCACTCCCTGCAATCAGCGATGCCCTTCCATACTGCATGATCCAGGCCAGAATTTCAGCAGACCCTCTGTGCTAAAACGCTGTGCCTCATTCTCACGGTATTGGTACTATCCAGTGGAATGGAAGGAGCCTAAGAAAGGAACATTGAGGATGAATATCCAGGGAACTTTCTCAACAGCTATCAGCCTGGGGAACGGCCTCCCTGGGAAAATGCCAGCAATGGACATTTAATAACTGGACTGGCCAAAACTTGGGGCGATGTGGGAGACCCTGCACTGGACGGGATGTGACCGAATGAGGCTTTTCCACCTCTCGCTCCCATGCATCTCTGCTGGCGCGAATGGAGCATGCTGACTTCAGGAAGAGAGGAGTCAGGACGGGTCTGTGAACTCTTCGGGCACAGGAGAGGACCCAGACTCCTGCTTGTGGGACTCAGGCTAGAACGTACGAACATAACAGCGTGGACGCCGTGGCTTCTGGCGGAGGCCGAGGCCAGCTCCCTGAGCTCCCACCCAGCATACAGGGGGAGTCTGAGCTTGCCTGGCTAGTCTTGGCCGCTGCTGGAGCCAGGATGTCCACACAGCTATGCTGGAGTGCGCTAGCATGAGCCCTGCTAACTCCCTGGGCTGGGTTCCCTTCCACAGCTTGGAGGACCCGAGACCCTGCGTGTGATGTGAATCCTGACCCGCCTGGGAAAGGAGGGGAGAGCGCAGATGGTGGCAGGCATTGATGAAATGCTGCGACGTCCCTTCCAAAGCAAAGCTGAGCCCAGCAGTCACCCCTACTGCCCCGGGGCAGGTGGGACGGAGGGAGCTGCCAAGCGTGGCTGTCCCTAAAGCCACCATTGCTTTCCACAGCCATCCTGGCATCTTTAACTCAGGGGTGCCAGGAAGCAACGGCAGCACAAGCCCTTACCCAGACGTACAGCCAGAGAGCGCGGTGCGAGGGAGAAGAGGGGGGAACGCTGCCTTCCAAATGGCCTGGGATTGGCACACTTGGGACACAAGTCCCCTTGGATCATACTGTTGGAAGCCAGGGGAGTTACAGGTTGTCAGGATCATGTCTGTGTTTCCCTTGCCGATGGGCTTTGTACAGAGGGGGAAGGACCCTAGCGCCGGGCAATGCCACGCTTAAGAATTTCAGTGCAAATCAGAGAGGATATCAAAGTTCCAGTTCCTTCCAGTACCCCAAACGTCCCCCTCTTGCACAAACATCCTCCCCTGCGCTCCTGGCGGCGGGACTACTGACCAAGACAGGACACGCTTGCTGTGGGAACCATGGACCAGCTTCTCTGCTCAAGCAAGCTGGGGCACTTCCGGTGGCGTCAGTCGAGCTCTGCCAACGGGCAGCAGCGGAAGAGCTGACAGCAGGATTGGATCTAGCTCGGACCCGATTCCCCCTTCTAACTCCCCGTTTTACACCGGTGTCGCTGCACTGCCGCCAGCCGATTGGAACTGGAATAGCGGAACAGTGAACCAGGGCGTGTAAATCTCCCCCAGCATGGCGCTTGTCCAATGAAGGTCCTTTATTAAAATGGCACCACTGGCACACGGGAGCGTATTTTAAAGTGTGCTCATCCCCAAAAGATCAGGCTTTGAAGTGAACACTATGGCCCAGATCCTCTAAGCTACTTAGGCACCTAACTCTCTTTGAATGTCAATGGGAATTAGACACCTAAATCCCTTGGAGGATCCAGGCTTCAAATAGGTGCTCTCTTTCTAGGTCCCTTGGCCCTAACCCAGCAAACTGTTCCATACAGGGGGCGTCTGCGTCTCATGGGGAGCCCGTGAATTTCTACAGGGCACTGCATGGGACCACCTCTGGTGCCCTGTGATGATGTTGGCCTCTCTTATTGCTCTATGGAATGACGACCATGGAGGTTTTATGCGGCAGTAAGTTGCTGATGCTCCCCTCAGGGCCATCTGCAACCCAGGCCGGTTGGCTTAATATGGATATTTGGTGTTGCTGAGTGCTAGGCTTTTGATCTACGGGCCAACCCAGCTCCCTCATGGACCCACAGAAGAGTCAGTGTTGCCAACTTGCAGGATATTTGGTATTTTTTCAATAAAGACCCAGGCCAACCCAGCTCCCTCGTGGACCCACAGAAGAGTCAGCGTTGCCAACTTGCAGAATATTTGGTATTTTTTCAATAAAGACCCAGCTCCAGGAGTCATGGGAAGACATGCGAAATCACGGATTTCATTTGAAAAAGTACGTTTCTGGCCCATGCAGAGAAAAGCCTGAAAAAGTGACACCCCCCCTCCCCTAAGGTTGAAAAAAAAAGAATCCCAAGTGTGGTTTTTTTTCTCAAATTTCGTGACATTTTTGTCAATTTCCTCACGTGAGGGGGTGGCGTGACTTGGGATTCTTTGAGTGCTTGGGGTTGGCAGCACTGACCCTCCACGGGGGCCCTCACTCCTTCGTTGCCCCTGGAAGATCCCTTTACACGTGCACCACTCCTGGCTGGGAGTGAGGTCACGGGACCTGCAGGACCTCAAAGTCATCTGTATCGACTTCCGTCTTCACCACGATAATGGGCCCATTGTGCACGCCCGTCTCCGGCAGCTCATCTGCATCTGGCTCCTCCCCCGAGTCTCTCCCCTCCCCAGAAGGGGCTCTCTTTCTCAGATGGTTCCTCTGGTGCCTTTTAAAATGCCCCAGGGTGGTGTAGCTCTGCCCGCATTCGGAGCAAATGAAGGGGCCCCTCCGGATATGGGTAAGTTGGTGTTTCATGAGGTTGGCCTTCTGGGAGAAGCTCTTCCCGCACTCCGTGCATTTGAAAGGCACCTCTCCGGTGTGGATTCTCTGGTGGGTGATCAGGATCTCTTTCCGCTTGAAGTCCTTCCCGCAGGTGTTGCATTTAAAGGGCCGGTCCTCCGCGTGAGAGGGCTGATGCAGGAGCAGCTGGGCTTTGTCAGGGAAGACTTGGCCGCACCTGCTGCACTTGTTGGGTTCGTACTTGGTGTGGACCCGCTGGTGGGTGATGAGGGCTATCTCCTTGCGGAATCCCCGGCCACATACGTGGCAGGGGAAGGGCCACTCCTCGCCCGGCTCGGTCTTGCCCATGTCATTCTCGCTGCGCTTGGAGTATTTGTAGGGCTCCAGGGTGGCCTCCTGCTCCCTCACGTGGACTCTCTGGTGGGTGGTCAGGGCGATTTTCTGGGTGAAGGCTCTCCCGCAGGCTGTGCACTTGAAGGGCCGCTCGCCGGTGTGGATCCGGCGGTGGACGATGAGCCGGGAATTGTCGATGAAGCCCTTGTGGCAGTCGGCGCAGCGGAAGGGGCGCTCCCCGGTGTGGATGCGCTGGTGCACCACCAGCTGGGCCTTCTGCGTGAAGCTCTTCCCACATTCGCCGCACTTGAAGGGCCTCTCGGCAGTGTGAAGCCGCTGGTGGCTGGCCAGGTTCTCCTTCGTGCCGAAGCCCTTGCCGCACTGGGAGCACTTGTGCTCCTTAGCCCCTTGTGTATCCCCATCCGTCCGGCCCCTCTCATGGACACGGTGGTGCTTGATAAGGGCAATCTTCTGGCGGAAGCCCTTGCCGCAGGCCGCGCACTGGAAGGGCCGGTCACCGGTGTGGATGCGCTGGTGCACGGTCAGCCGGGACTTGTCGATGAAGCACTTGCCGCAGTCGGCACAGGGGTAGGGCTTCTCGCCGGTGTGGATGCGTTGGTGAGTGACCAGCTGAGTGCGTTGGGTGAAGCGCTTGCCGCAGTCGGCGCAGACGTACGGCCTCTCGCCCGTGTGGATCCGCTCATGCTTGGTCAGTTCCCCCCTCTTGGTGAACTTCTTGCCGCAGATGCCACAGCGGTGGGCCCGTTCCTCCGTGTGGGCCCGCTGATGGTTGGCAAAGTTCCCTTTCTTGGTGAACGTCTTGCCACACAGCGTACACATATAGACCTGGCTCTTACATGGCACCGTCAGGTCCCCTGGGTGGCTGCTGCCTTCGCCGTTTTTGGCAGGCAGTCTCCCGTCTGCTGCCTCCTTAGATTTTCCCTCAGAGGCGGCCATGTTCCCATCTCCCTTCTCCCTGTCATGGACTCTCTGGTGTGCGGTGAGGCCTACTTTCTGGCTAAAGCTTTTCCTACACTTGGGACACGTGTGGGGTCCTTCGCTGTGGTGCTGGCACCGCTGGTGCCTCAGCAGCAGCCCCTTGCTGCTGAAGCCGTCCCCACACTCGACACACACGTGGGGCTCCCCCCTGGCATGGGTCCTCTGATGGCGGATCAGGTGGATCTTCTGCCGGAAGCGCTTCCCACACTCGGAGCACTGGTAGGGTTCCTCTCCGGTGTGAATCCTCTGGTGGGTCACTAGGATCGACTTCTTCTTGAACTGCTTCCCACAGGTGCCACATCGGAATATCCTCTCCCCATCCGGTGTCGACTCGGGCACGATGAGCTGTGAGGTGTTGCCAGCATGGATCCCACCGTGCCGCCGTGCCCCCTCCCCAGTGTGGACCCTCTGGTGTTTTATGAGGGTGATCTTCTGGCGGAACCCCCTGGCGCACACCCCGCACTTGAAGGGGCGGTCGCCTGTGTGGATACGGTGGTGGGCGACCAGCTGCGACTTGTCCACAAAGCTCTTCTGGCAGCTGCCGCACTTATAAGGCTTCTCGCCAGTGTGGATCCTCCGGTGAACGATGAGCTGTGATTTCTGTGTGAAGCATTTCCCGCACTCGGAGCATTGGTAAGGCCGCTCCCCTGTGTGGATCCTCTGGTGTTCCTTCAGCTGCGACTTGGTGATGAATCTCTTCCCGCACTCAGTGCATGGGAAAGGCCTCTCCCCGGTGTGGGTTCTGAGGTGCTTGGTGAGGTCCACCTTCATCTTGAAGCTTTTCTCACATTCGGTGCAAGAGTAGGGCTTTGCTTTCTGCAGGGATTCTTTCTGTGCTGAGAGATCTCCCTCCTGGTTCGTGCCCTCCTGGCTGGCATCCTCTTCCCTTCCGCTAGCTTGCTGGCTCATTAGCTCTCCTGTTGCAACGGCACTTCCCTCCTGCTCTTGGGGCTCCACCAGCATCTCCTCCTTGTGGGTCTTCTGGTGCACGGCCAGGGTGCCCTTGTGATTAAAGCTGTCCCCACAGATAGTGCAAGTGTACGTCTTCTCCCGGGGGTGCTTGATGAGGTCTTCCGCTTCCACCTTAATAACCGTCAGCTTCTCCATCATCCGGTTTCTTGGGGCTGAGCTGGCAGGAAGCTCATGCACAAGAAGAGTGATCATCTAGGGTCTTTTCTTGCCATGTCCTCCAACTTTCTTGGCCCATTGAGGCTCAAGGGAAGTTCTGAGCCTCCAAAGGCGCTGATGCCAGTTTTCATTACTCCCCTTTGGGTGGTAACTCTTATTTCCCTTCATCTGCTGGGTTCAAAAATAAAAAAACAGTCAGATTTTATTTCAAAGGCCAGTGTGGAAGGAAAACTCATAGCAAGATCCAATGACTGGAAGAGGAAGCTAGTCAAATTCAGACCGGAAATAAAACACACATTTTTAATAGTGAGTGTAATGAACTATTGAAACAACTTACCAAGGGTCATGGTGGATTCTCCATCACTGGCAATCGTTAAATTATTTTATTGGATGGTTTTTCTAAAAGCTATGGTCTAGTTCACACAGGAATTCAGAGAAGTCCCGTGGCCGGTGTAGTACAGAAAGTAATACTAGCTGACCACAAGTGTCCCTTCTGGAGTTGGAAGCTATGAATACACAGGGTAAATTTAGCATGGCAAATTTCCTGGGTGCCAATAAACCCCACCAACTGTGGATAATTACAGTAACATTGAAAAGATGCTTTTGTAGAAATACTAAAGGATTCTATGGGCTGTCTTGGACCGACCTCCGCCAATGCCGATGCAGCCTGGAGAAACGGACCACATTGTGATGTCACTTGCACTGTGGTGCTATCAGAGCATTTCCAAGAAAATAGCAATGGTCTGTAGGGAGCTAAAAGACCCCTCCTACTGTGCCGATCATTGTCAAGGACCAAGCATCCCTCACACTCCACTGACTTCAGTGAGATTTAAAGGCTAGTGGAAGGATACAGAGAAGAACCAACACTGACAGAGGGCATATCTAGACTCCAGGGGTTTTTCAGGATACTGGAGGTATTCTGGAAAACCCCCGCTACATCCAGGTAATGCATTTGCTCTTCCGCTTTTTTCGCGGAAGAGCAAATGCGCTCTTTCGGGGTGCCTTGTATATCTCGTTCTACAAGGAATAAGGGCTCCTCCAAAAGAGGAGGCTTTTCCGCCATTTGGCTCGGTCTAGAAAGAGACAAGTGGGGAAAAAGCCTCTTCTGGAAAAGCAATCGGAAAAACCTACGTACATTGCGGAGTGCAATTTGTGTAGCTTTTTCCAATAAAAGACTATAGTCTAGACATTGCCAGAGTTAATATCTGGCCTTAGCAGGCAATTGGTGGAAAACAAACCCCAAAACTCAGCTGTGCTGCAATCCTGGGGCAGGCTGGCAGGGCAAACCTGAGCAGCATGGGGTTGTGAGGCTACATGGCAGAAGGTGGGAGCAAGTGGAGTGGTGGGTGGAATTGGAGAGAGCCACTCCAACCAAAGACAGGAGCGGAGCATAGAGCTGAGGTGGCAGTTAGGGGTGGTTGGTGAGTGGCCAGGAAGGTTTCAGGGGCGGTGGGTGACAGCCTGGGGGTGAGATGCTGAAGAGGTCTGGGGTCAACAGGCACTGCTGGGGCTACAGGCTGTGAGCTAAGGAGATGTGCCGGGGGAAGGAGGGACATGGGAGAAGGGCTGGGCTGCTGAGAGGTAGGGTTTTAGGAGGAATGCAGGAAGTGGGAGGGTCTGGGGACAGGATATAGGCTTTTATGGGGGACATTAGGAGCAGGTAGAGCTAGGGAACTTGGAATGCAGGGTTTTAGGGAGGACGTTGGGAGCAGGTGGAGCTGGGGAGCTGGGATTTAAGGTTTTAGGGGGAATGTTGGAAGTAGGTGGGGGTAGGGGACCTGGATGTAGGTGTGACAGGGTGTGCATATCCTGCACTGGCACAGAATGGGTTAAAACCCCCGTGAGCAGAGGAAGTCCCGCCCCCTAGCCAGACTGGGCATGCTCCAAGTGCTGGGCAAGTATAAAAGGGAGCAGCTCCATTGAGTTTAGGCTGGATGCTAAAGAGGTGGGAGCTGCTGCAGGAGCTCCAGCTGGAACCCAGTGAGAGACCCTGATGACAGGAGCTGGAGACATGGGAGATGATGTTGAGCTGGTGGAGCCTCAGGGAGAGACTGGTGCTGTGGAGCCTGAGGACCTGGAAGCCATGGGGATCACCCCAACACCTGTACTGGTAGGAAGTGACCCAGAGAGGGAGCATGAGTGGTGTCTCCCAGCCAAGGGAGCTCAGTGTGTGGCAATGGGATTCCCTGCTGAGTGAGTGGCAGATCCCTCCTCCACTGACAGGGCCTGGGGCAGGGTGGGCTCTGGTCCCCCTACCAGGGCTGCTGCCCCAAGCCCCTGAGACTCTGGCCATTGGGCCATGGTGCCCTGTAACCCGAGGGCTATGCTACAGGTGGGGTGGGGGGCTAGGATGTAGGGTTTTAGGGGGGATGTTGGGAGCAGGCTGGGAAGGGG